AATACCAGGTACACGACAGTGTCGGCCCGCACACCGGGATGCCGCGGCGGACACCGGGAGCGACGGCGACCGCGCCAGGTCCGGCCGTTGGAGGACGCCGCCGGGCAGGAGGAGGAGGAGGGAAATTATTTGTCCCCTCGAAAGGGGACATAATTTTGAGCCCCGACGGGAAATCTTGCCCGGGCTCTCCCGTAACTCATCAGCAACATTCCTGCCCTCCCCGCTAAGTTTAGCGATTTTAGGACGAAACCTTTTCAGTCCTGTGTGTGTCGTCCTCCCTCCCCGGTCCTTTTGTAGCTCTTGTAACATATGTTTACAGCTTAAAACCAGTGTGGAGGGAACCAGGGAGGGCTAAAACCAGCGCGGAGGGAACCAGGGAGGGCTAAAACCAGCGCGGAGGGAACCGGGGAGGGCTAAAACCAGCGCGGAGGGAACCGGGGAGGGCTAAAACCAGCGCGGAGGGAACCGGGGAGGGCTAAAACCAGCGCGGAGGGAACCGGGGAGGGCTAAAACCAGCGCGGAGGGAACCGGGGAGGGCTAAAACCAGCGCGGAGGGAACCGGGGAGGGCTAAAACCAGCGCGGAGGGAACCGGGGAGGGCTAAAACCAGCGCGGAGGGAACCGGGGAGGGCTAAAACCAGCGCGGAGGGAACCGGGGAGGGCTAAAACCAGCGCGGAGGGAACCGGGGAGGGCTAAAACCAGCGCGGAGACAACCGGGGAGGGCTAAAACCAGCGCGGAGGGAACCGGGGAGGGCTAAAACCAGCGCGGAGGGAACCGGGGAGGGAAAGAGAAGAGACAGGATTTCCCCCCCAAAAATACAGCCGGGAGGGGGGAAGAATCCAACCCCGACGTCTTGGAACGGCTTCAATCTCCAAAGACGCCAAAGCCTACGCGGCGTTTTAGAGTCTGTTGGCGTGTCATACGGAGGGGAAGGGGAGGGGGGAAAAAAAAAACAACCTCCAAATCCTCCTTCTGGTAATCTATGGCTCGCATCTAATTAAGGTATAAATAAATTACGGCAAGAGAAGCCAGATCTTGTACGTACACGCTTCATTCTTCACGTATCAGGTCGCGGCGAAGTCTCCAGAACATCGCGGTTGCAGGAGAACGCTCGGTGGAGAGGAACCAGCTGGGATAATTTAATGTTTATTATCTCCACTAATATAGATTACTTCTAAGACTAAAGCTTTCGTGAAGGTTGCCAAAGCACTGGTCCACGCTCAGGTCACGGAAGTCCTGAAAAAAATATATTAATAGAGCAAAGAAGAGGGTGGGTTTAATCCTCGGAAAAGCCTCGGAGGGGGAAAAGAGGGATTTGCCTACGAAGTCGAGCGACGGCTCCCGAATCCCCGAAGGAGTCCCCCCCTTATGTGGGATGGGGGTTCCGAAGCTCCGAGAAGAGGGAAAGTCCTTCGTCGGCCCGGCGCTAAAAAGGCGAAAAGTTTTGGCTCGCCGCTTCCCGACGGACAAGGAGTTTGTCGGCATCCGACTGCTGGGTCGGGGGGAAACCGCGCGGGGCGAGGCGTTTTATTTCGCCAAACTGAAACGCGCTGAGAAACGCTCCGCGGAGAGGGGAGAGGAGAGTTTTTTAGATCCGCCTCAGCTCACACACCCTCCCCCCCCGGGGAAAAGAGGGGGAGAAAAAGACGGGATGTTCCATTTTTTTTAGAGAGGATCTGGAGGGGGGAAATAAAGAAGAAAAAAAAATCAAAATAAAAAATCAAAAAAAAAAATCAAATAATAAAAAAATAAATCAAATAAAGGAAAAAGGTTTCTCGCGCAAACTCCCGCGACGTCGGCAGCCGCGACTCGGCAGGAGGAGGGGGG